GCCGGGCGGTGGTGGCACACGCCTTTAATCCCAGCACTCGGGAGGCAGAGGCAGGCGGATCTCCGTGAGTTCGAGGCCAGCCTGGGCTACCAAGTGAGTTCCAGGAAAGGCGCAAAGCTACACAGAGAAACCCTGTCTCGAAAAACCCAAAAAAAAAAAAAAAATTTGTTATTCATACTAAACATCAGAAGAGACAAAGCATGGCTTGATGTTTTACGAGCTTTAGCACTTTACTATAAGATACAGGGGGATTTGCAATATGCATCTATAGACCAATAGGAAAAGGTAACTGTGGGGCTTATTATTAGATGATATTTTATATATAATATTGTATAACAGTACTTATGATTTGTTTTCTGAGAATTATTTATCATGCGGGCAAAGGAGATGAACCTGTGAAATATAGAACATCTTTAAAGCTAGCATGATCCAGGAACCAAGTGACACCTGACTTAACATCAGTGCTTCTTGCTCTACATTTTCCTGATTGGCTGTCAGGAGAATGACTGCTTCACTCTAGGGGAGAGTTTCTATTCAAGGACAGAAAGGTTTATTTGGAGGGAGAATCACAAATTACATAGCATATATTTTAATTTTTCATATACAGAACTCAGTCCTATAAGTGATACATTTATGAATTACCATGAAATCTATTTCAATGGAAGTTTTGCCTATAAATAATTCTAAAATGATTAATTCAAAATAGGAAAAAGGAATAAGGATTTCAGTTTTGAGACAGGATATCATATAGCTCAGGCTGGCCTCCAACTAGATATATAGATTTGTATAACAGTGAGCATTGGGTACCCTGGCCCACCTCCTGAACACTGACATTAACAAGTGTGCACCACCACAGCCACTTGAATGATGCTGAGGAGTGAATACAAGGCTTTCTTGTATGCCAGGCAAACACTTTCACAAGAGACACACCAGTGGACCCCTGCAGAACGCTCAGAAGAAGAAGCTGTTCATAATTTCATTGAGATTTCTACCTCAGTATGAATGATCTTTCGCCTACTATTCATTTCATTCTGATTCTTATCATCCTTCTTTGAATCTCCCTTCCAGTTCTCTTCCCTCCCTCTTCTCCTTACAAGTTCTATTCTTACATTCATGACTTTATTGTTATTGTTTGTTTTGATTTGAATTCTTTTGAGACTTATTGAGCTTATTGAAGATCACTGTGATCTCTTCATTATTGGGACTACTCACTAGGGCCTGGCAGGCTCCTCAGTGGCTATACAGATGAAAAAGATGGCTGCCTCCCCCACAGAATCTATCAGTAGCAAGGGTCGTTCATCAGGGAGAGGTAAAGCTCCTGAACTCCTCAGGCCATGACTGACTGTCCGAAGCACTCTGAGTAGTTATGTGTCTCTGCAGTCACCACCATTACAGAGAAGGTCTCTGATTAAAGTTGTGAATAGCATTTGTCTATAGGTATAAACATACATATTTTATTTAGAAGTCTGCCTGACTTCATGACCATTTAAACAATAGCATTACATTCTCCCCTCGGGGTTAGGACCCCCTCTGCCACGAGCAGGTTAAAAATATTACTCTTTAAGAGTGGGCTTCAAATCCAATCAGAGAGCAGTTGGTTCTTCACATTACAGTTGCAGAACTGTTTCTTGGGTGGGCAAATCTTGCCTCACAGATTGGTCCTGTAGATATGGGGTTCAGCTGGGTAAGACCATTGATGCCTTTTCTCCCCCAGCAGAATATCCATCACCTTCTGGAACTATGAAAGCTACTGAGCAGGAAGGAAGCTTCCAGCTCAGTTCCAGCTTGATTCCTCTACACCTTGCAGTCAAGGTGTGTAGTATTTCCAGCAACAGGGGTTTAGAAACTAGGTGTATTCAGTTAAGAAGAGTGACAAGAGTCAGTGCTGTCTAAAGAGGCTCTGCGGCCTCCCTGACTGAGAGGCCGTATTACACCTGGCACTAGGATATCCATTTCAATTTTAAGATTATCTTATTTTGTCTTTCCTCATGGGCAGACCTTGCTTGGTCGTGTTTGGGTCATTTAGCAGGTTATCTGTCACCTTTTCAGATGGGTTTATTTTTGCAAGAGGGCTTTAAAATACACAAAGCAGCTGTCTAATTTGTCAATACCATCCTTGATTATTCTGTGTTTGCATTGGGGTATCGCTTACTTTGCTTTGACTTCTAGAAATTTCTGTTGAGCACACTTTCTTCGGAACCTCTTCTTAATCCGAAATTCCTTAATAAAGTCATGACCCAGAATTTGTTATTTTAGAAAAATCACTATCCCAAATAAATATCTAGAAACAGTAACTTTACACTTTAAGAACTAATTCAAACCAAAATAAATAGTTAAATGTTTAGCTAATGGGTAATTTGCAACTGAACTTTTTACTTACCAGAATTTCAATGACTCAGTCAAGATTATTATAATAACACTATGAAAAGGTAAGATTTAAGTTACAAAGATGCATATACTTTAGCAAGGTCCAATACATTTTAAAAATGAGGAAAGTCAACCAAAGGAAATAAGACTGGAGGAAGAGAAGAAAGCCTGAAAAGAGAATGGCATGAAAGCACAAGGCAGGGAGGCTTTAAAAGGCTTGCTGAGAAGGGTTACTAAAGCTTGCAAACTCAATCATTGTTTCTGGCAGCAAAGCAATTAGTTATAAGAGTCTTAGAATCCTAAGGCAAATGAGATGGTTTCTCAATAGAAACATCTTTATTCTTGACTCATGCATGAGGATAGATTTTTCTTCTGGGATAAGGAAAAACATGATGATCTCGTAAAATGTACTAGCCTTGTATTAAATACAAGAGGAGATTTTTTGTGGTGCAGTTTTCTGTGCTATCTTTCCATGAAAGCAGATGCAGATACCTCCCAAAAGTACAACCAGACAAACACCTACTTCAAGTTTGCCACTTGCTAGTGGGGTTTTAGATATGCAGAAAACAAAGCCCTTCTGGGTAGGCTCCTCCTCCTGTTTCTTCAGGCTGATCTTTTGAACAGTGAAGGTGGAGAGGGAGAAAGCTACCTTATGCTTCTTGCTGTGGGGAGGGCCGATCCCATCATGTGGACCCATGGCGCTGATTTGCTCCATTGCTCTGTGTGACAGTGTGATGAACCTGGATGATCTCACAAGAAGAGGCCTGTACCTGAGTGACATCCCTCTTCATGATGCCACTAGAGACCTGGTTCTTTTGGGAGAACAGTTTCGGGAGGAGTATAAGCTGACGCAAGAGCTGGAGATCCTCACAGATAGGCTGCAGCTCACACTGAGAGCCCTGGAGGATGAGAAGAAGAAGACAGACACGTAAGAATGGAGTGAAAAAAGGCCTGGCTTTTATTCACAATTTGCTAGCACTGGTGTAGTGTTACACTTCAGACTCTCACTGGAAGGGTCTGGGACCTCTTGTATCCCTGAACACTATTTGGCCCTCTCTCCACATGATAACAAAAATTAGTGATTTCCTGATGCCCATAGGGTGTTTTGCTCAAGTTCTTGAATGTTCTTTTTCTTATTTTTGTTTGCCAGATAGGATGTTTTATTTTTGGAGAATTGAACCAAATTGACTTGTTTCCCATCAGAACTATTTCACTCCACTTCAGCACCAGAAGATTGACAGCTGCAGCACATCCTGTGCTTCCTTAGCATTGATGCATGTGTCAGATGCCCGTCCCCAGATGCTGGGCACACAAGTAAACGTAACAGTTAGCATTGGTAATACCATGAATGAAATAGAGGATTCATTGTAAATGCCTGTCTTTATCCTTTTTTTCTGATTTTCTGAATACCTGTTTTCACCTTTACATTATTCATCAGAAAGATGTGTCTATATCTACTTGCTCTGAGACCATCTCACTTCCTCCCCATGGTTGTAAGGGTACCTAGTTTAAATGTTCTGTAAATTTCATCAAGCACATGGGGATAGGCATCTCAACATCTCCCACTGCATGAAAAAAAACTCAGAGTACATGTTATATCAGTACATGGTGCAACTTCACCCAAGAAAAATATCACATATATGCATGGTGCACCAAAGATTCAGATTCACTGTCATACAGCTTGGTCCATTCTAGTTACTATATTCTGCATTGGCTGTGATATCAGAAAATGATATAGATCTCATTTTTTTTATACTATGGTTCCATATATGCTGATATCCACACTTACAGTTATGTCACTCAGATTTCTATAAGAACTGCTGAGACAATACACTCATGAAGAAATCGGGAAAGCTTGGGTTTGTGACTTCAGAAGTTGCAGCCTCTGTTGCTGGCCCCGTTGCTTTAGGCTACAATGGGATCAGGTACTGTAGTAGGGATGCATGACAGAGGAGGCTGCTCATGTCATGTTGGCCAGGACGCTGAAGGGAAGGATGAGATCTGTGTGTCAGTCAAGGGTGTGCCCAAGTGACATAGATTCCTCCTACTGGACCTCGCCTGTTAAAGGTTCCACCAGTCTGCAATGGCACCACAGCCTGGGGACTAAGGCTTCAACACATGGGCCTTTAGGGGATATCTCAGGTTCAAGCTACAACAGTAGGAACAGATACCTAGTATGCAAAGATGCAGACTTTAAATGATGGAAATATCCTTGCAGTCTACATCTTGTACTAAAAATGCTGTTGATTCATGTTGCCACTAAATTGTTGGCTTGAGTGTTCACTTCTCCTGCTACCTATGGTGCAGCCTTTGGAGTTGATAATTATTGTCACCAGAGCTTGACTTCTGAACCAGAAAATAAGGACCCATCACAGGGCCCCCTTCTTTGTTTTGGTTTTCCCAAGGTTGAATGATTTTTCAAAGACTACTTTCACTGTTTTCCTTGTTTTAGTTTGCCCAAGGTTGAATGGATTTTCAAAAACCACCTTCACTATTAAGAGATAATGTGCTTCATTAATTTTCATGACTGGTGTTTAGATTAATAGACTGGGATTTGATTTTATAGTAGAGACTTTAAGACAATTTCAACTTCATTTTAAGACAATTTCATTATAAACCATCTAGTTTTCTTTAAAGCTAAGCTCTTCTGCTGTTCACATTCTGCATTAAGAGCTAATTTCAATGTTTACAAATAATTTCTGTTTACAAGCAAAAAGCAACCACTGAAGAAATTCTGCTGTGGCCAGAAAGAAAACAGAGGGTTCAGTCTGTTTTTCATATTTGAAATTTGCCCATTGGCTAAAAGGATGAAAAGGATAAGAAGGCCTGGTTTCTTCTTGTTTCTTCAGGCTGGGAGCCCAAAGGTTTTTGCTTTCCTTCTAATCCAGCAGCTCCCCTCCTGCTGTGTGTTGACCACACTCTCGCCTCAGCTCATTCCCAATGCCATGGTAGTGGTCTCAGCATTGCCTACAGAGATAAAATGTCTGCCCATCTGGGCCACTTTTCATCTCTTTTATCAGTTTCTCCCAGGAAAGCGTGAAGCATAAATAAGACTAGAAAGCAATTCTACCTTATCTTCTGTGACCTTGCAATATTTGAGATAAATTTTATTCCTGTAAAGTGAACATGTTTCTGTTATTGTACTATTTGTGCAATATTTTAGATTCTCATACTGACAATGTCAAGCCTGACACTGTCATAAGAACAGGGCGAGAAGCCAGGACTGCAAATGAAAACCGTGAGGTCCGAGTGATGGTCTTTTGCTTTTCCTATCTATTTATTTGCTTGGTTTATTTTATTTTATTTTATTTTATTTTACAATACCATTCAGTTCTACATAACAGCCACAGATTCCCTTGTTCTCCCCCTTCCTGTCCCCCTCCCCTTTCCCCCAGCATACTCCCTATTCCCACCTCCTCCAGGGTAAAGCCTCCCCTGAGGACTGAGATGGACCTGGTAGACTCAGTCCAGGCAGGTCCAGTCCCCTCCTCCCAGATTGAGCCAAGCATCCCTGCATAAGTCCCAGGTTTCAAACATCTAACTCATGCAATGAGCCCAGGACTTGGTACCACTGCCTAGGTTTATTTTGAATTGGTTTGAAATGGTTCAGGATTAGGGATATATATATAATCACAACAGACAAATGGTTGCTGTGTTCCTTTGTTTTGTATTTAGCTAATGTTTGATACTGGTTTTTAAAGGTATCTTACCAGGATCCAGCACAATGGCTTGATGCAGTATAGAGGCAAAGCCTGGGTGGTAAAGGCTCTCCACCATGTCTCACAGTGCTTTCCCCTAATCCTCATAGGTTGCTGTATTCAGTCCTCCCTCCATCTGTTGCCAATGAGCTGAGACACAAGCGCCCCGTGCCTGCCAAAAGATACGACAATGTGACCATCCTCTTCAGTGGCATTGTGGGCTTCAATGCTTTCTGTAGCAAGCATGCATCTGGAGAAGGAGCCATGAAGATTGTCAATCTACTCAATGACCTCTACACCAGATTTGACACACTGACTGATTCACGGAAAAACCCATTTGTTTATAAGGCAAGTCCTAATGGGAGGGAGCCTGTTGTAGTATAGTACAAGTCTGGGCTTCTGAGACTCTCCTGCTTTGATAGTGTTATAAGGTCTATTGAGTCCCTGCAGGCCACTAGCTTAGATAATTTCCTCATTGTAAAGAAGTGTATAATAATTTTACACATGTGGGTAATGCATTCCAATCATATTCACACTCATCTTCTCTTACCTCCTTTCCATCTCTCTCTTCCCAGCAAGTACCCCTCCCCCTTACTTCCATGTTTTTGTTTGTTTGTTTGTTTGTTTTCTGAGCCACTGAGTTTAACCAGGGCTGCCTGCATGGGCATAGGTGTGGAGTTCTCCACTGGAGTGTGGACAATGTAACAGTAGTTACATCACCGAAGACAATGTGTCTTCTTTGTCCAGAAGCAATCCCCCATCTATGATTTAATGTTGCCTCACCAGAGTCTTGGGAAGGCCCTGTGAAGATACCTGAAGCTGCTGTATGACTCTGAGTACAACAGCTATGACATTTCCAGAAGACGTCATTTCACAGCCTTCCTCCCTATCATCGGCTTTTACATTTTTTTTCTGCCCCTACCCAGCCGTGGATATTCCCAGATGTCCACTGAGCCTTGGAGAAGATGATACAGATGTTGTACTTGGTGCTGTATACTCAATAGTCATTTTCAGCCCTTTGATCAGTCATGAGTCTCTGCATTAACCACTGCTCACTGTAGAGTGCAGCTTCTCTGCCCAAGGCTGAGGGCAGCACTAGTGTATGGTATAAACTTCAGTGCTGAGTAGTTACCACTTAGGAAACTTTCTTTTCAACCATGATGATGTTTCATGGAGCAGACAATCTCTGGCTGACATGAGGTATCCGGCAGTTTCTTTGCACTTAGGTTAACGAGTCTGTGCAGATTGTTTATTACATTTAGTATAAACACAGCATTCATTTTTGTGCTCAGCCAAAGACATTTTTTTCCTAAAATACATAAATGCTTTGCACTGTAAAGAAGTCATGGAGCATTGAGAAGGGTCCTGGGCCTCAGGTTTACTTTTAGATATCATCAAGTTGGAGATAAACATTTACAAGACATCTCTGCCCTTTGTTTTAAGTAGAAACAAATATAATATTGGAAAAATGAAGTCAGTGGAATATTACTTTATAAAGGCAAGAATGTTACTGACTGTGTCTAGGCTCCCGGAGTAATATAACTTCACAAGAACTATTTATTTTGTGGTTCTTTTCTGAGGCACAGTGCTACACTTGGTGAGCACATCACAATAGTACAGGGCTTAACTCAGCCTACTTTGCTTATTTTAAGTAAGAAGCTGGATGGCATCTGAGTAATGATACCCAAGGTTATCCCCTGGCCTCCATAAGGCATGTTCACAGAGGCATGTACCTGTACAACATGCATACACCAAATCAACAATTCAACTTAAAAACTTAAAAAATAATTAAATGACAGATTAAAACATGGCTAGAGGCCAGGATCAATCAATGAACTTCAGCCAACAGCTCCTGTGTTATTGAACCAGTGCTGCTCAAGGAAGAAATGAAATAATAGAATATTCTACATGAGGCTCTAAGTTTGAAAAAGCTGAGATGCAGTGCACGTTTGTAACCTCAGTGCTGGGGGCTTGCTTGCCAGCCAGTCCAGCTGAACACTAGGCTCCAGGTTCTCTAAGAAACTCTGTCTCAAAACTAAGGTAGCAGGCCAGGGAGATAGCTTAGTGGCAGAGTGCTTGCCTCACATGTTATAATACCTGGATTCAAATTCAGTCCCCAGCAGTATATACTCAAACACATGAGAGGAAAACTGGCAAAAATTAAGGTAGAAAGAGAGAGAGAGGTGAGAGAGATCTTCCATCAACCTGTAGCCTCCATGTGCACAGGCAAGCACACTGCACACACACCCATACACACTTGCACACACATGGGTAAGGGCATTTTTACACATATGTGAGTGCACACACAGATGTTCTGCTGAGTTATAAGTGGATCTCAGAAGAAATGACTAAGAAGCTCTACCATGTAAATTCCAAATAGTCGAAAGTTTCCATCCTGCTGGAGTTCACACTATTCTAGTTTTAAGGAATTTAAAAGGGAGGTCACTGTGAATTCTGGGAAATACTATGTATCATAGCAATAATAATAAAAAAAATCCAGTCACTTTATGTCAACCATTGAGCATGTGAATGTGTGTGTCACCTTAGGTGGAGACAGTTGGTGATAAGTATATGACAGTGAGTGGTTTACCAGAGCCTTGTATTCACCATGCACGTTCCATTTGCCATCTTGCCTTGGACATGATGGAAATCGCTGGCCAAGTTCAAGTAGACGGTGAATCTGTTCAGGTGAGTGAAGAAACTGATCATTAGGATACTAATAGTAGAACTTGGTCAACAACTGATTCATATTGCTAATCTGGAAATGGTTAACATGTACAAAGACGGGCATCTTGAAGGAAAAATGCCTGTTGTATTACACTCTTCCACAGACATGGGAAATAAATTAGTTCATTTGTCCTGTGGACAGAATGTCTTGAGTATATGGAAACTTCCCACTGTTTCTGCTTTATTGTTTCACCACGGAAGTTACCCACTTCGTATCTTCAGGTCTTTCTCTTTGGACAGAATATTTCTCTTCTCAGAGGGATATTGTGTAAGGGCATTTCAAATAGTCTGTTAATAATACATATGTTAACAATCAAGGTGATCGAAGCAAAACTTTGCTTTCTCCAGATAACGATTGGGATCCACACCGGGGAAGTGGTGACAGGTGTCATTGGACAGCGGATGCCTCGGTATTGTCTTTTCGGAAATACTGTCAACCTCACAAGCAGAACAGAAACCACAGGAGAGAAGGGAAAGATAAATGTTTCTGAATATACATACAGGTGAGGAGGGGACCCTCATACTATTTACAGGGTAGTGTGTGGGTGAACTCTGTGGTTTTACTTCCTTTGAAGAGTTGCTACCCCATGGCCTCCCCTCTGCTGCTGGCATTACTTTTTATTCCAGAAGTGTGTACCACTGTTTCCATGGTAAACCCCTCCACATCACAGTGGGAGCTTCCGATAAACACATTACTAAAACCCTAAGTGCCTTTAACTACAACTGCAGTGTGGGGTCTGGCTGCCTTCATTCTCTACACAACCTTATCAACTTCCCTCTCTACTCCATCCCCTGTCTTTCAGGTGTCTCATGTCTCCAGAAAATTCAGATCCCCAGTTCCATCTGGAGCACAGAGGCCCGGTGTCCATGAAGGGCAAGAAAGAACCAATGCAAGTTTGGTTCCTATCGAGAAAAAACACAGGCGAAGAGGTATGGCTCCCCAGCGCGTTGCATTGGTTTCTGAGAAAGAATATCAAGGGGGAGGTCAAGCAGACACACCAGACTTGGAAAGGAAAGAATTCTTGCTTACAGAGAGGACTCTTCCATAAAATGTGACTTCATGGCAGTAGTGCTGAACCAGTTAGAACCAGATTTGCTCTAGAAGGGGCTGTACGACTTTTATCTTGTAATAAAGGTAGGAACCAAAGCCTCAGGCTGAGGATAGCTGAGGTGTGCTTCTTCCTCTGTGGTCCAGTTCAAACACAGCCCAGGTGCTGGGACCTCGGGGACCCGTGAGAGCTTCTCAGTCCCTGCTGCTTCCTCTGAGATCTCAGCAATCTGCACAATAGCCGTAATTCCTGGCAGTTTTATCAACCAGGAAGCTTAGGGTTCTCTCAAGGCCACCAGAAGTTCTTGTGCAGTGTTGGTGGGGGGACCCTCGATGATCTGGTCTTTTTGGAGTTTCTCCTGCAGAGAGGCCTGGTTTCTGATTTTAAAGAATCCAAACAATTCCTTAGGGGAGGTTTGGGTTCTCAAGTGCTGAGAGATTCCACTCCAGCCACAAGCAAAGGCAGGACAGAAAGGTCACAGCCACGCTTGGCCTCCTCAAACGGTCAAGTCAGAAGCACAAGCACAGTTCGCTCCCTCTTTGGTGAATTGACTCTTCAGAGGGGGTGAGATGAACCGAACATACATCTTTTCCTCTGTGTGTACATTCCCTAAACATGTTTTCATAGAATAGAACAAACACGAAAGGGAACAGGATGCTGCTAGCTTTTCAATACTTAGCCTCTTTCTTCAGTTTTTCACTCCTTTAAGTGCTTTGCTTCTGAGGGTAGCATGCATATGGGTGCCCTTCTGAAGAAGCAAACTCTCCGGTGTCAGTCTTCTTGGTCAGATGACCCTAAGAATAATTTCTTCTCAACCTGGGGTGGAGATGCTTTTATATAAACTATAGATATAAATGGATATCCCACTGTCAAAGGCAGGAAAATGTGTTGGGGGGGCATTGTAAGTTTCATTGTGCTGGAAGGTCAATTATATATTTCTTCCATCCATTTAAGGAAACAAACCAGGAAGAAAACTGAACCTCAGATAGTGGGACAGAGAACACTCTTGAGTTGGCTTCTGGTGGCAGCCTCATAAGCGTCAAGCCCAGGAGCATTTCTTCCCTGTGGATACCGATTTCTACTGCCCTTTTCAGCGACCCAAGGCTTTTTCCTAGTTACAAATATCCGACACTATCTGTTATCTGATGTTAGCTCTGCTTTTGACTATGTTTAAGGTCTTGGTATAGTTTCTAAAGTTTGGCTTTTGATGTGGATGATTTGAACTTGATGTTCATTAAACTCTGCTGCAAGCGTTACCTAAACTGATGATCCAAAAGTGGTAGACACCCACTATGTATTTGTTGAACTAGATAAAATGAGACTTAATAGTATCTAGCCATGTGTATATATATCATGGCTCAGCAGGTTTGTTTTATGCTCCACGTATATGTACATGTATATTTTAATGACTATGACGTAAAACAAAGTTTATATCATGTTGGTGCATGTCATTCTAGAAACCATTTTCTAAAGGAGTGAATCTAAGTTTTAGGAAAATGCAATTTATTTCTAGACTTCTGAAGTAGGAATTAATATGCTGTACTAAGAAGAGAGTGACTATTTTGAAATATGTTAATTACCTTCTGGAAATATAAGGTATACATTTCTATTATTGTAAGATTTGGTTGCTCATTCAAACCTCATGCCAATTACAGTTTACCTAACATCTGACGTGGGCTAATTCATATTGCAGTCCTTGTAATGAGTTTCAGAACTTACTGATGGTTGTGATGGGACTGCATTGTTTCACACTGAAAGGTTACATTTGCAAGTGTTGGAGGTCCGAAATCAAAGCTGGGAATACACAGCTAGGATACTGCTGTTAGAGTCAACTTTGGCCTATTTCCACACTTGAGCTTCCTTGATTAATTTAGAAGATTATCAACTGACCGAGGACATCATATTCAGAATATTCAGAATACATTTTAATTCCAACAAAGAATGGACTTCATTTATGTTGGAATATTTGACCTATCATCCTTTAAATGTCTCTGATAATTTATTAATATCTATCTTTATAAAATATAGTGAAACTACTTTTATGTAAAAATGTTTGTCTTTAAATTTAGTATTTCGTATCAGCACATCAATATATGTATAAATGTTACATGTTAATTGTGTAAAAAAAACTCTACAATAAATTATTTTTTTCACTTGTCTACAGAGAGTTTTGATTTAAAAAAATGATATTGGTACAACTTGAAATTTTTCTTAATTTTATATTTAAAAGCATTTTTCAACTTTGTGAGCTATAAATTAATCCTGATTTTTCTACTTTTGTAATTTGTTTCCAGAGCTGGGCGCTGAACCCAGAGCATGACATAGGCTGGACAAATGCTGTAACAAGGGGCTGTATCCGCCACCCAGCTGTTCCCTGAAGTTTGAATAGTTACTCTTATTGCTACTCGGCTTGTTTGCTCTTTAGTCAGCCTGTCCTTGAACTTAGGCCACCTTTCTGCTTTATTGTTGGGACCATAGACATGTGACACTAAACAATATTCTTCAATCCCAAGGAAGAAACAGAATGGAAGATGAAACACAAGAGAAATAAGCAGACAGATGTGAAAATGGTCTCAACTAAGGGGAACGTATGGACAATAAAACATTCAATGGCCCTGAAGTAAGAACCAGATGCCTGATAAAGTTTCAAGTTAGTCACCCCCAAGTTTAATGGGCCCGGAGCGAGAAGAGGGGTATAGGTGGGCAGGTTGTTGGTTTCACGGAGGATGGTAGATTAATAAACCAATTGGGGAAGGGGATAGACATTTGGACAAGCAGGAGTATGACAATATGGTGTATATAAGATAACGCAGATATGTTTTTATTACATTAATATAATTTACTTGTTTAATATACATGTTGTAGTTCATTTATGTATAATATATGATATTATATTGATAATCATTGATTTATATTACATGCTTATATGCTAGTGGAATATAATTTAATGTACAATATACATAAATATCACAGTCTGCTTAAGGTGGGAGAGGTGTACATAGGCATTCAACACATTTAATATTCATAACTATGAAAGATGTTTAACCTAAAGAAATGATACTAAATGAGGAACTTGAGAAAAAAAGGATAAAGAAAATAACAATTGCATTAACATCTTCCTAATGCTCAACACATTTAGTGAGGGTTCCTTTTGGCCTACACTGGCTTAGGTGTTTGGAGCATGCTATAATTTGGATCTGACTGTCTCCCCCAGACTCCAATGCTGATGGCTTGCTTGGTCTTCATCTTGGTGCTGTGTATGAAAAAAGCTCCAGTGGAAGGAAGTTAGGCTATGGAGGTAGCACCCTTGAAAAAGATTGAGAGATCCAGTGCCCGCCCCCATTCCCACTGACTTCTTTGTTGCCATAAGGTGAGTGATATCATGCCTTCTACCATGTGTTGCCTCATAACAGGTGCAAAAACAATCATGATCATGGACTGACACTCTTATAATCACAACCACAATCCAAAGTAAAAGTCTCCCCACTAGTTTTCCTAGGCATTCTACTACATTATCTCTAACATGAGGTGTGATAATAATTTGCATGAAAAAATTCACATCTTGATTGTTAAGAAATGTCAAATAGGTACAAACCACCCAGTCTGAAAAGTTACTAAATCTTCCTTTAAATGACCTGTTTCTCACTTTCCCCTCTCCATTCCACACTCTCAATTTCTTTCCTATCTAAACTCGCTATTTCTAGCCATTGTCTCTATCCCTGAGAACAGAACAGAGTGTCACCTTAGGCAATGTCACCTGATAGCTGCTGCCTTGGCAAGATCGTACCTGCTCTGTCTGGAAGGCCTTTGTCCATGCTCTGATGGCAGACTTCTCCTGTCACCTCCATCAAAAACCTTTCGTTAGAGAAGAGAAGAGGACTTATGTGTTCCAGGGTCCCACAGTACTTACCAGAGCACATTATCTGTTTGTATACCTCTTGAGTTCATTGTAAATCTTATAGCCAAAATACTCCCTCTTTTCCTACATGTCACCTGAGCCCGCCACAAATAAGCAGCTGATAATGCTTGTTGAATGAAAGAACAGAGGGAGCAGTCTGTGGAGGAGGTAGAAACTAGATTTTCAGGAAGAGTGGGAAATGTATGAGATTGGAGGAAAAATAAGGGCTACAGAAAAGCTGTTATTAAGCTATTATTAAACTGGTTCTTGAAGGAAGTCCTGCTTTCATTGGTGTGGGCTGAGTGAACAGCAGAGAACTAGTATGTGGTTTCAGGGAGTGGCTAGCCTTTGGTATGAGCCTTCTCCAAAGTGATGGAAGGGCTAAAGGCCAATTAAGAACTCAAGGTTCATAACTCAAAGTTTGTAATAAGATATGGGGCAAAGGGGATGAGGGGAAAGGTAAGCAGAGGCTACCTGTCCGGTTAGTTGATAGATGACAAAACCACTAAACAGGAAAGAGGGTGCATAAGGGAGAAAGAATTTCGGGGAAAGGAAATGAGAATATTAGACATGGGTTGTACAGTGCCTATGGCTTCATTTAAGAGAGTAATGACTGTTCTCTCAAGATGGCATGATGAGTGAGTGTAAAAATAACCTTGGGTCTCTACAGCTTCAGTTTCACGCAGTCTGTTAGCAGCCTGTGACCATGATGCATTCACCTAATCTATATCCTCGTTCTCCCACTGTTAAAAGTGAGAATATAGTAAGTGTTGCTGAAATTGTTTGTTGATAGATGAAGACATGAAGAACTCATAGAGTTAGAACATGGGCTCAGCATTTTGAGGATAGTAGAGACGTAACCAAAGACATGCAAGTTCACAAATCATTGGTAATACATTGTGAATGCTAAATCATGGACAGCACATGCCATGAGAAAACAACAGTGTCAACAAGCAGAACCTGGATAGTGTTTGAATATTCAAACACAATGAAAATTTCCTACAAATTAAAATCAAGTATACAAGATAGCACTTTGTCAGTTTGGATTCAAAAGACATTTTCATGAATACATAAAATATACATGTGTATTATATTTCTTAACTATTTCATTTTGTTTGAATCTATAATTGACTCACCGAATAATGTGCTGTTTTCTTTGTCCTTGTAAGAAGAGAAGAGGTTTTTTTTTTTTTTTTTTTTTTTTTTTGGCAAGCTTTACCTAAGTGTATTTCTTTACATGTCATCTGCAATAATGGCTGATGTACCTCTAGAGGGCAGCAGAGAATGCTAAGATTCAAATTACTTTTGGCTCTCTTGTAAGACAAGCAGTTATCCATGGATCCATCTTTCCAGGTCCTCCTTGTCCATTCATGCAGGAAGGATCACAATTGCCCACCAGGTAGTTTTGGATGGATGAACGGAAGAGTCATATTAAAGTAAAATGTTAATATATAAAACAAATCCCGCCGGGCGGTGGTGGCACACGCCTTTAATCCCAGCACTCGGGAGGCAGAGGCAGGCGGATCTCTGTGAGTTCGAGGCCAGCCTCGGCTACCAAGTGAGTCCCAGGAAAGGCACAAAGCTACACAGAGAAACCCTGTCTCGAAAAACCAAAAAAAAAAAAAAAAAAAACAAATAAATCCCTCAAAACGCTTTAGTTTCCCTCTGTGGTTTTCTACCCGACATAAACAAGCCTCAGTGGAATCACCAATCTCCATAAAGAGAACAGCCCTGAAAGTGCTTGACCACAGTACCCGAGCTGGCTTTGTGATGATGTAACATGCCATGAGTGAGTACAAATCACAGAACTGAGAGTTCTTCCATTTTCACCTCAGCATGTGCCACGCCTGCTACTGAGTCCTCTGTTCTCTGGCCATTGCTGGGGCATACACAGGGAGCCATGGTGAGAATGCATCCTAAGTTCTGAGACAAGGTGTGGACAAGGTCAGGAGAAAATGCAAATCCGAGGAAATGTATAAAATTTGAGTTCAGAATTTGACAACAGACTTAACTGTCTTCTTTTTTATTGTTTAAAAATTTCATACATGTATACAATTTATCTTGGTCATATTCCCCCCTTCCACTCCCTCCCTCTAGCTCCCACATCACCTCAATATATCTTCTTCCAACCTTTGTGTCTTATTTCATTTTAAATGTGCTATGAGTGTTTACCTAGACGGATATATGTGCACCAAATGCTTGTCTGGAGCCCATGGAGGTTAGAAAAGTGTTTCTGATTCCCTAGATCTGGAGTTACAGACAGAGAGACAGATGTGGACCTCCATGTTTGCTGGGGAGCAAACCTAGATAATCTGCAAGAGAAGTATTTGTTTATAACCACTTTGCTGTGGATATCGTTCTATATAAATAAAACACTGATGGCCAGTGACCAGACAGGAAGTATAGGTGGGACAAGGAGAGAGGAAAATTGGGGAAACAGGAAGAAGGAGAGGGAGACACTGCAGCCACCGCCAGGACAAAGAGCATGTAAAGACGCCGGTAAGCCAATGTGGCAAGGTATAGATTTATAGAAATGGGTTAATTTAAGATAAAAGAACAGTTAAGAAGCCTGCCATGGCCATACAGTTTATAAATAATATAAGCATCTGAGTGATTATTTTATACGTGGATTGTGGGACTGCGGGGCTTGGTGGAGCCTGGAGAAAAGCCCTCCAGCAACACCACTTAGTTCTCTCTCCACTTTATCATCATTATCACCATTATTACCATCACCATCATCACCATTATTATCATCATCAGCATCATCATCACCATAATCATCATTATCAGTTTACAATCTACTAAAGGGCTAGTAACTTTGAGAGTTGTAAAACCCTTTTCAGAGTTTGAGTGTGCAATAGTATTTTTTTAAATTACACTCATGATATTCATTAATTACACTCATGATTTTAATCGCATTTGTGGTATTCATAGATTACATTCACAGGATTCATTCAATTTTACATATATATATATGTAAATAATTTTAATGTAAATAATTTTAAATGTCAAATGTCATTTCTTGAAGCGGGTAGGAGGTCTTAAATACAGGCTTACAGCACAATGGGAGGATCCTGGAGGGCAGAAGTTCACTACTGATGTTTTACAATCTTGCATCTAAGCTGTTAATGCCCATTATTCAGGATACACAGACAAGGAACTTCCCTTAAGCATTCAGGAGGGTGGAAACTGGCAGGGAATTAGCATAGGGAGGATATCAAGGTCAAGGTCTGCAAACAAGGCAACAGTTACCCAAAACAGGTAACTGTTTTGGAACAGAAGAGTCATATGGAAGTAAAATGTTAATATATAAAACAAATCCCTTTTATTAAAAAATGAGCTTCTGACTTGGGTTGCGTGGGACGTCAGCAGGTCACCTTACCTGTCATGGAGACACCTGTCCAGGCCACACAGGTGCTCTGTCTTAGGTTGGTGAGTGCCCCCCAGGCATTACCCATCTCTGAATACTCATTATCATGCAGGCTCAATCGTGTGTGAGCTGCATAGTTAATTGCTGCCAAAGATCTCAAAGTGGCACTGGGCTTGCAATCTGTGTGTTCAGTACAGAAAAGACCAACAGAGGTCCTATTTCACCCATAGCCAGTAGGCTAAAGGCAACTGAGCTATTCCCTTCCTTAATGAGCCATACTGTATGTTGGAGTCCTTGTAAGATAGTATCCCAAAAGCAACTGAAACTTGAGTTTATAAATTTATAATTTTCAAAGCCAATCAAGATGTATATAACTACTGAATTAAATTTATCATGCCCAATAGAATGAAAGATTAACTAACTGTGGTAGCTACTTTTGTTGCCAGGGTCTCCACTGTGCTAGCTGTAGTAAGCAATTATGAAGTAGTAATCCCAGAAACAGTAGCAGTGGTGTGCGCCATTGCTATAACAGCAACAGCGGCAGCAGCAATGTCAAATTGTCTTCTGGATTGTGTGGACATCCACTGGCATGGATACAACTCCAGAAACATGAACCGCCAAGGCCCGTTTTTCTTGATCCCAGCATGACTTTAGCTGGCAGCTCTTCTGGAGAATCCAGTCTCATGGCTACAGTTCCTAGGCTTACATTAATGCTTGCCAAAGTTGGCCATATTGGGCTCTCAATCTCCATTGGCATCAGAAGGGTAGATTTTTTTTTTTTCATGAAGACCCATTAGGTCTCTGTCACATTGGACTTCAGCAGTAGCCACAGGGTATGTTCAGTGCTCAGGAATCCAAAGAGGAACCTCATTGTCCTGAGGAAAGACATTAACCAAACCCCAGGGCCACACCAACACTAGACTGGGTCTCCTCCATGTGCTAGTAGAAAGATCCTTCCATCGCTCCAGAGGGTGATTTGCAACAGGAGCCCTCCAGTGCTTATCTGTATCGGATCCTCCAGCAGAATCTACCGATAAAAAAATTTAAAATATATAAAACAAGGGAAAGAATAGAATGTGGAGAGGAATGATGAGTCCCTAGTTCTCCTTTTTTTAACTTTAGTAAAATGTTTGTTTACTATTTCAAATTTTTCTTTTATTTTTATTGTTTAAAATTAATTAATTAATTTTTCTATTATCAGCTTGATAAAGTATATATTCTTATCTTAATAATGAGATGTTTCATTGAGGCTTGCTCAGTAATTAAGTAAAACTGAAATTTATTATAAGCCACAGTCCTAGGGACCTCCATGCTATATATATAGCCTCCATGGTTCTGTGGGTTGTGGTCTGATTGTTCTTTATTTTATATCTAGAATCCACTTATGAGTGAGTACATACCATGATTGTCTTTCTGGGTTTGGGTTACCTCACTCAGGATGATTTTTTCTAGTTCCATCCATTTGCCTGCACATTTCATGCTTTCATTGTTCTTCTCTGCTGAGTAGTACTCCATTGTGTATATGTACTACATTTTTTTCATCCATTCTTCTGTTGATGGGCATCTAGGTTGTTTCCAGGTTCTGGCTATTACAAATAGTGCTGCTATGAACATAGCTGAGCATGTATCTTTATGGTATGAATCAGCATTCCTTAGGTAGTGCAATAGTATTTTAAGAAATCATATATTCACTGGTTTTGTTAGATTATAAGTATAGAGCAAAATTTAAATAATAAGTGGGCATTATGCTTTGAAATATTCTATTTCTTATCCAAATAACAATGTTTTTGTTTAGTTAGAAAACTGCAAGGGTATTTCTTACAAATAAAGTCTCCTGGAGATAGAAAGTGTGATACAAAGCCAATCACCTAAGTCATGTGAATTTTGAAATTAAAAAATCCCTAGTAGTTATTCAAAAATTAAAGTAGGATTAACAGTTGAATAATATATATATATATATTTTTTTTTTTTTTGGTTTTTCGAGACAGGGTTTCTCTGTGTAGCTTTGCGCCTTTCCTGGGACTCACTTGGTAGCCCAGGCGGGCCTCGAACTCACAGAGATCCGCCTGGCTCTGCCTCCCGAGTGCTGGGATTAAAGGCGTGCGCCACCACCGCCCGGCTGAATAATATATTTTTATTAAACACAGCACAATCAAAATGTTATCATTCCAATGTGTAACATCTTTAAAATTTTTAGTTCCAGAAGCTGTGTTCCAGAGGTAGCCAAGTTTGTACCTTGCATTGGCAGCCAAACTTGGTAGTGTAAGAGTCACCCAGATGGTACTGGTTTTGCAAGCATAAAGGGGTCATGGAAAGCAGCAATGGCTTGGCACTGTGAGAAGCCAGGAGAGGCATTGGTGAAGCTGCAGCCCGACAGCAGTTGAAGACTCAGTGTTGAAGTGGTCATACAGAGAAGTTGAGGCTTGGCACCATGAAGAAAGCCTAGGAGAAGCTATTGGGGAAAGTGTAGCCCAGGTGTAGCAGAAGACCCCAGCATTATGGAGATCCCAGCACCATGGGATGACTACCCAGAACAGCAGCAGCCGTGGAGTGGAACCTGCTTTGAGCTTAAAAGACAAGCTGTGCATTCTACAGAGGGTGGAGCCAGAGAACTGACCCAGGCCCTATGGAGCAGCCCGGAAGATCTTGAGTGAATCTCAGATAATCAGACATCAAGATATTTTCACTTTTGGAGTTTGGTTTTTCTTTGTTCAGATTGTGACTGTGTCCTGGTTCTTCACTTTTGAAGTGAGAAGGTATTTAATTTAATTTTGATTTTTAAGGGAGCCCACAGCTGAGAAAGTCTGAATTTTTTAAAGATATTTTGGATTTTTAAAGAGATTGGATATTTTGAAGAGACTGAAGTTTTAATGTGTTTGAATTTGTAGGGAGTGTGGGATTTTTAAAACCATTTATGTTTTATATTATGATATCAGTATCAATGTGCCATATTGGGGATAAATGAGAAAGGAAAGGTTCTAATTGAAAAGTATTGTGTTTGTATGTCAAGTTGACAAGGGGTCAGTTGTATTGGCTAGTTTTATTTCAATTTGACACAAGTGAGAGTCATAAGAGAGAAAAAAGCCTCAACAACAACAACAACAACAACAACAACAACAAAATGCCTCCATAAGATCTGGCTGTAGGCAAGCCTGTAGGGCATTTTTTAAATTAGTGATTGGTGCAAGAGGCTGAGCCCAGTGTGGGTGGTACCACTCTTGGGCTGGTGATCTTGGGTTCTATGAGAAAGCAGGCTGAGCAAGCCACAATGAACAAGCCAGTAAGCAGCACTCCTTCATGGCCTCTGCATCATCTCCTGCCTCCAGGTTCTTGCCCTGACTTTCTTTAAGGATGGACTGTGATGTAGAAGCATAAGCCAAATAAACCTTTCCTCCCCAAGTTTCTGTAGTCATGATGTTCTATCACAGCAATAGAAACCCTACCTGAGACAAACCAACAGCATCAGAAAAGCTTTAAGTTCTTATAGCATCATATTAGTATTTTACTGTTTAGATAAAAGTGTATTTATTTACCTAAAGCACTATTCATAGTATATTCCTATTATAATGAAAAATACTGTTTAATCTAATGTTCTCAACATTAATTTTTAATCTGGAAATGATTTTGAAATTCTAGAGGAAATAATGAGATATTTTTTTAGTTGTATTAAACATTGTTCTTTAACCGATGGTAGGGAAAAGAAAACAAATCATGATTAAATGGGAACCTTGCTTATAAAGTAGTAAGAGATTTACAGCTCTTTAAACATATTTCATTAAACAAAATTAGGAACAGGGCAGGATGGAGTTCATATAAGCTAAATTAATAAAAGTGCTTCTATAAATTCCCACTAGAAAAAAATTGTTAGCTCTTTTATGTAACTGAAAGTTTTCCTGTGCCCACCCGGCTCCTGGGTCCTCGCTGTCCTGCAGCCGCTCAGACCCAAATGAACACACAGAGGCTTATATTAATTACGAACTGTATGGCCTACTAGCTCAGCCTTCTTGCTAGCTAGATCTTACATCTTAAATTAACCCATTTCTACAAATCTATACTTTGCCATGTGGCTCGTGGCTTACCGATATCTTTACATCTTGCTTCATATGGCGGCGGCTGGCAGTGTCTCCTCTGTTCTCCTTTCTCCTCTTTAGTTAGAATGTCCTGCCTAACCCTATTCTGCCTCACCATTGGCCAAACAGCTTTTTTTAACAACCAATCAGAGGAACATATTTTCATAGCATACAAAAAGACACTCCCCAATCACTTTTACTTACTTTGTTTCTTCCTAAGTTTGAAATCATAGCTAGATTTCATATTCCCAGCACATCTAAAGTGAGCCACAGTCCAGTGCTCAAAGGCTACACACATAGAGCTATCACTCTCTATGAGGTAAGAATACAGGCTGTAGCCCAGCTCTTCTATAAGACCTGGAGTGATCTGAAATATTTGATCCTCTTGGTTTCTCTTTGCTATCAATGTATCCACTGTGTCACAGACACTACAATGGATTCAGTAGAAGCAACTAGTAGCAAGGAAGACATCATGGAGGACAGCATGGCAAAGCAAAGCTGCTTACCTTGTGATGACCAGGAAGAAAAAAAGGAAGAAAGGGGTTTGAGATAAGCCCTAGAACATGCCCTAACTACATTTTTTGCTCTAACTAGGCCCCATCTCTAGACTTTTCTACCACCTACCAATAATGATACCAAATTCTGACCCAACAATAGATTCATCCACTGGTTAAGTCATAGCTTTTTTTTTTTTTTTTTTCTTTTTTTGACTCAATCACTTCTCTGAGAAGTGATTTTTTTGACTGATCACTGCTGAGATCAGTCCCTGGGGGCAAAGACACATGGGTTGTTCTAGTTTGCATTCCTGTTGATATGATAAACACCATGACCAAAAACAACTGGGAGGAGAAAGAGTTTATGCTTGCAATTCCAGGTAACAGTCTGTCACTAGAGGAAGTCGAGGCAGGATTTCAAAGCAGGCCCCTACAGCAGAAATCATGTAGGCATGCTGCCTACTGCCTTCCTCCCTCTGACTTGTTTAGCCTGTTTTTTTAAAATAATGTTTTTGTTAGATCACTAAGAATGCCATATAATTCATTTTGATCATATTCATCCCCCTTACCAGCTTCTCCCAGATCAACTACCTTGCTATATCCAGAAGACCAGCTTTCTTAGACAAACTGTGCTTGCCTGTCTAGGGATGGTGCAGCCCACAGTGGACTGGGTCCTTGCACATCAATCATCAATCAAGACAATCCATCACAGATATACCCATAAGCCAATCTGATCCATGAGCTTCTTCAAATGAGGTTCCTTCTTCCCAGATGCCTCAAGTGTGTGTCAAGTTGACAATCAAAACTAATCAGTGCCAGGCGGTGGTGGCACACGCCTTTAATCCCAGCACTCGGGAGGCAGAGGCAGGTGGATCTCTGTGAGTTCAAGGCCAGCCTGGGCTACAAAGTGAGTTCCAGGAAAGGCGCAAAGCTACACAAGAGAAACCCTGTCTCGGAAAAAAAAAAACAACAAAAACTAATCAGTATATGAACATCCAAACCATAACAATATTTGAAAGACAAAGTAGCTGTTGGATAAAGAAAAATGGTAAATCCATATTTATACTTTTTATTTTGATTTACAATGTGCATCTCTGAACTGAATATTGCATTTTAATATTCTGTGTACGACAATATAGTGTACAGTGGCAAGAAGAGAAAGAATAAAATAAAGAAAACAAAGGGTACTGTAGGAAAGATTTTTAGAAAAAATACAAAAACAAAGTGGTTCTTTTTATAAGTTGCTAACATAAGCAACTTAATGTTTTGGGATGACAAAGGAGATCTTCTATTCCCACTTGACAATTCTTTTGCTAATTTTAATGAAGTGTAATTATGTGACACTAAGTGGCACCTATTGTCCAGTGACAAAGTCAAGGCTTTTTGTGAAGATTTAGATCATCAGTCAGTCCATACTCACATGATGCTTTTTGTTTGTTTGGTATATATATATATGTGTGTGTGTGTGTGTGTGTGTGTGTGTGTGTGTGTGTGTGTGTTAAGGATGTTCCCACTGTCAACTGAACATATCCTTCTGCATTTGGCAGAAATATTCCCAAAATGTGAACAGAAGGAGAAATCTGCAATGGTGACGACCAGAAGACTAGCATACCTATGCACATACAAGCACATTTTTAATGAACTTGTGTTCAATCAAATGTTCCAGAATTACAAGAACCGTTCAGGCTTTGGGAAGCAAGTATCTCTACCATACTAAGTATGTGCTCTTATCTGTAAATTTACTAATATTTCTTCTCTGATTCATCAGCATTTGAAATTCAAAACTTCTTGTCTCCAGAACATTGCATTTCTTGACATTTAATGCCCCTTTAGTGTTTCTGTTCAAAACATAGTGTCAACATTTTAAGTCATACCACTCCTTTTTGAAACTTGTGTTTCTTTAAACATTGTTCAGTATTGTAAGTAATAATTCAATTTAATAGGCAAGAGTGTAGAGGGTACGAGGTCCTGGTGCACACAGATACGCACTAGGGGAACCAGGAAAGTTAAACACTCAGGCTTATCTCTGCAGAGGAAGAAGATATTTAACTCTCTTCCACCCTGAATGCTGGAAGAGGTTGCAGCTGACAACCTGGTGATCTTTTGCTATCTGTGGGGCCAGGCTTCACCAGAATCCCTCAGACTGTTACGTTTGTTTATCCTAGATTCCTTCTGCCACCCTGATAGACCTTGAGCATTGTGTCCCATCCCATCTTTATGAAGATGGCATGTGTGCCTTATAACAACCTAGGTAACTTCTGTGTTGTCATAGGGCCAGTTGACCCTGATTCATACAGGCATTATGCTTACCTCAGTCATTCTCCCCTGACTGTTGAGCAATGTTTCTGAGTCAATAGAACCCATCTTTTGGAAGAGATCGTGTGTACTTTGTCAAGAGTTTGAATGTAAACATGACTTAAGCTTTGTGTGCACACAGTATTGAATTAATTGTCATCAGGAAATGTTTTTCAAAAATTATGCTGTTCGTAGCTATGGTTAAAATGTCAGATCCTAGACATTTGAACCAGCCTGGCTGATACATGTGGCTGACTGGATTTTCTTCTCGCCTCATGCTGATCATTTCTGTGGTGGCAGGCATGCTTGCAGGGAGCCCAGCACAGGAGACTAGCAAATGATAAAGATCTTTGCTGCTCTTCAAACTCCCCACTCCCCAGGCATTTGGGAAATCCTGCACAAGCAAATGGCACTTAAGAGTAAAGCTACAGTCACTAATGTCACCATGTGGCCTGTATTCCTAACATGACTTTAAATACTTTGCAAGAATTTAATTCTTGAAATAATCTGTTTAATTGTTCATGTATAAATTCTCATTATTTTACTTATGAGGAAACCAGAGTACATGAACTTTGGTGGATGCACCAAAGTCAGATAGAGACTGAATGGTTAAACCAGTGTCTATACTCAGCCAACTGGAGGCCAGAGCCCAGGCTTCCACCCAGTGTGCCAAAGCTCCACAATAAGAAGTAAACCAGCAGTGTCTTCAAGGTGTGGCAAATTGAGATGATTGTATGCGAGATAGATCTTTAATCAGGCAAAGCACAGGCTTTTAAATAAACTTGGCAGGTGGATTTCCCCTAAGTGGCCACTGCTGCTGCCTCTGCCACCAACCACCACCTTCTCCTGCTCCTTCTTCTCTTCTTCCTCCTTCCTTCCATTGTTGCTTCTATCCTTTTCTCTTCTGCTGCCTCCTCCCCTTCCTTCCCTCCTCCTCTTCTCTTTTCTTCTTTTCGTTGGTTAGGGTTTTCATTTTAGCTCACATCTCAAGGCACAGTCCACCATGGTGTGTAACATCATGGCTACAGGAATTTAAAACATAGGATCTAATTGCATCCCCACTCAGGAATCAGAGAGATGTGAATGCTGCTCTTCAGCTGTTTTTTTTTTTTTAATTTTCAAACTATGTTTCATTTATTCATTCACAATTTCATACATGCCCACAGTGTATCTTAATCATATCTATTCCTGTTTCCCTTTCTCCCATACCACCCCAAACATATCCCCTCCAACTTCCATGTACTCTTTTATATTTATTTTGTTGTAACCTACTCAGTCCAGTTAGCGCTGCCTGCTTGGATGTTGACTGAGCTTGTTGACTTAGCCTTGTGTAGATCTTGTGCAAGTAATCATAACTCTAGTGAGTTCACATGTGCAAGGACCATGCCATGTGCAGAAGACAGAATTTCACAGAATTTCATGGAATTCCTGTCCTCTGGACCTTATACTCCAGCCCCTTTCTCACACATCCTTGTTGAGCAAGAGAGTTGAAATAGATGTCTTATTTAGTACTGTGCTACCAACAGTCAGTTATTCACAGCACATTGACCAGAGCTTTGAATCTTCTTGTTGTTTTCCCCAGCAAAAGTGACTCTCAGGCCAAGACTGAAAGTGGCTCTAATCTATGGGCATAAACGTTGTGTTAAGAACAGCATGTATACAGGACTCCATGAATGCAATATCTGAAGGAAAGAATCCCAATAATGCTGGTTAGGTTAAAACTGAATAGTGAATACATGATTGTTCATTTCATTTCGTTCTTTCTTGAAGTTTCCAGTGTTTGAAATATTGAATACTCAAAAGAGAAAGTGGAGATGGCATGCAGATACTTTTCTATGTTAATTTTTGCATAAAATGTATTCAGCTGTCTAGTTGAATTTACTGATTCATTGTAATGTTGTAAGTAAATGTTTCCTATTGCTCAAGTGTCTTACATTTAGATGGAAGAGATTTAAATTGTGATTAAAGAAAGTGGGGGACATTTGTCAGAGAATGAATACCCTCAAAAGTCAGTGAAACTTAAGCATTTTTAAGAAAAGGAAATTATTCTGAAAAGAGGATAAATTGCTGAAATATTGGAGTGTATCCTGCCCTGTCAAACTGGCCTGTATACATATGTTTAAGAAGTAGCTAAAAGTGGTGCTTAATATATAACGCTATTAGCTTATAAGAGCTCATAAGACGGTAAGGTCTAATGAATTATATAGAAGTAGACAAGTAGCATGACAGTAGAATTATTTAAGAAATTGCATTTCAGCATGGTACCCCATGATATAATTTGTTGGGGAGCAGTGCAGAGTCCTGCACTGAGACGGTTGTCATTGCAGGGATGAAGTCACAGGTCAGGAAGATGATGGTGAAAGATGAGAAGAAATGAGAAACGATGGAGTCTCTAAGACAGAGGCAGTCAAGTCCTGTGTCCACACAGCTTGTGTATCCCAGCAGACTTGGATGTAACTGCTGCTCTCACACAGGCATCTCTTGCTTCTTAACCTGCAGACTTCCCTTTCTTATTATCTCTGATGTCCAACTATTCCAGCTCTGCACCTTCCAACTGCTGCTCTTGATTTTCAGAAGTGACCTTTGTTTCTCTGTAAGGCTAAGTGAACTGGTTTGTTTACGTCAACCCACTCATTGGATTTTAGCACAATGGTTACAGGTTTGGGTACAGAGATTCTGATCATCAAGCCAATCATCTTTTTCCTGCCAACTTCTGAGAAGAGGATATTCAGCATTTTTTTCAACTCCTTCCTTTCCACTTCACTTTTGTATTGTTGTTACAAAACTCATCCCAGGGGGGAAAGGCCAGGAATGTGCTGCACTGTAACTGTGATTATGCTGGATCTAAGAAGGGAGCCCCTTTGCACCCTGAAAAAAGAAAAAGTCCTTGTCTATGTCTAGTGACCTTGTCAGTTTCTTCTCTCCTGCTCATTTCCAAACATTGCCAACATTTCATGTTTTAGTATTTTTTTCCCCTGATGTTCCTCCTTATTATTCACTGTGTTTTGCTGCAATACAGGTTCCTCCTTGGGTTAACTCAGATATTTTGCCCATCGTTTATATGCACACATGACATCTGCCCAGCAGGTCACCCACATATTGGGGAAATCATGTGACCTCTCCCTTCTTGATAAGAGATTATATAAGGTGCTTGATTTTGTCATTACATCCACTTCTGTTTGGGTTAAGTTTGTGACATTTGGGGCTGGCTCATTGCTGTAATCATTCACTAGGGTGAATGTGCACCTACCACAGATTTCACAATGCTCTGGGAGGTTATTCCACTTTTCTCAAGGTAATATTTAAAGCCTTTATTTTCAGAGTACAAATATTTTATTTTCTCACCACTGATTCCCAAACAGATAGCACTCATACATTTGAATACCGAGAGCTGACTGATTGCCGGCCGAGCACCAGTGTAAACAGCTGATGATCAATTTTCATTCTGGACAATGTCTTTCATGTCAGTATGTGTTAGTTATCAGGCCATTTCTCTTTTAATTACCTGAGCAAAAAAGAGTGAAGATGCCATGTAGTCGGGAAGAAACTGTAACCAAACAATACAATACAGAAAGAATTGGGAATTAGATTTATATTGTTTATGCTGCAGACTGAAATCAGGTCCCCATACATGCTAAGCACAAACTAACTGAACCTCAGCCCTGGAGTTAGAGTTCTTTGCCTTGATCATTGTTCAATGTGTTAAAGAAGACTTTTGAGCAATTCACCATTGAATGAACATTCCGAGAGGCTGACAGTAGTTGATTGCCTAGAGCATAACAAACAGAACTGTTGAGGTTTTGTCTAGATTAAATAAGTATGTAAAAGTTGTTAGAAATGAGGAAATGCTGCGGAGTCCCTCTATAGTACAGATTCATCTCCATTTTCAATTACATTTATTTTATGAATCCATCTGTACAGAAAATAGATTCCTGCCTACCCCAAGTCAGTTATAATAAAGCTATCTAGAAGAAAAACACTTGATCTTAGCCAAAAGACCGAGAAGCGATTCTAGAAGAAAAACAAAAATGCTATGGTTTAGCAAAAATGAAAATTCTGAGAAAGTTTATAAAGCATAAATTATGCATACTATTCCCTAAATGAACAATTGTCTTGATTATTCATTGTTCTAGCTTTGTTTTTGATGCTATGATTAAAAAATACTCTCACAAAAAGCAACTAAGGAAGAAAGGATTTGTTTGACATATAATTCCAGATCACAGTCAACTCTTGAGTGGAAGTTGAGGCAGGAACTTAAAAAACTTACAGCCACAGTGAAGGGCACAGAGGGGATAGATGCATGGGTTTTTGCTTGCCTGCTTGCTGTCTTCAGTAGCTTCCTTCACTCTTTACCAGTTCAGGGCTCAGCCTAGGGAATGATGCTGCCTGTACTGTATTGAGTCAATTAACAAACAAGACAATCCCTCACAGACATGCCCATGGACCAACCCCAACCACATAATTGTTCAGTGAAGACTCTAGTCACAGAGCAGGTGATTCTAGGTTGTGGCAGATTATTTAAAATAATCCTCACAACCACATACAGTTTGATAGTTGTGATTACCATATTTAGATATAAAGTACACCTTTTTCCATTCATTATTATAAAAAAGTAAAAGATGTCCACCATGTAATTGTTACTATTTTTACTGATCAGGTTACAATAGAGAAATAATTGAACAATACAGAATATATTATACAATACAGGCAGAGAGCAGTGTACACAGAAATAGGAATCTTCAATGATTCAAGTCTATTTTATTAGACTTTCCAAACTGTGACATAAAGTCTCATAACAATGAATGAGCCATTATAATTATATGTATTATGAAAAGAAAAAAAAAACAATATTTTTTATTGTAACAGAATATTAACATTCTTCTATACTGACTGAAGTTGAGGAGTCCTCTGGATCATTTCAAGTATTTTCAGCAAAAAGAAAATGACTATCCAGTAGAAATTGGTCAATACATATTCAATAATTTCTATAATTGTAATCAGACTAGCTCCACAAAATAGGCCCAGCTGACCGCCAACATCGGCTGTAATAAAAATCCATAAAGAAATTACATGTTTTTCATTAAAAAGTAAACATTATTATAGTACACATTATTTTAATCCAGTAAGTTGATCATGACTGATTTATGAATGTACATTAATCATATTATTTTAAAATTTAGTATAAATAAAGTGATACAAGCTAGTAATACCTGGTAATAATATTCACACAAATCATCTTCAAAAGGAGAAGGTATAAAACTATGTTTCCAAAAATTTAATTTAGACTTTGGGAGATTTGAATGCTAGGTAAAATTTTAACTACAGTGTAATGCGCACTCATGAAATGCAAAGCAGAACTGGAACTTGGTACCATATGGACTTGAAGGATTATGCTGTGTCTCAAGAAGACAATTTCCATGCAAATTGCATTGCTAGTGTCCTAATTATATTTTGTGTTAAACATCTATTGTGGCTCATTTAACCAAAAAATATATTTAAAACACTGCATTTTAAAAAATGTTTTTAATTTACATTGATATATACATTTACATTTGAACAATTTCTAAGTATGTAGTTCTAAGGCACACTGTATACTCTTATTTTTTTTATCTTTATCATTACCACCTCTAAAACCTTTCCACATTCCTCAGAAGCACTCCTTTGAAAAAAATAATGCCCCAATTCCCTCCATCCACAAGACTCCAGCAATCACTCTTTTGCTTTTCCCCCTTGTAAACATCCCTGCTGTATGTAGTACTGCCTTCTAAGGAAGATTACATCATTAATAGTCTGTGTGGACTCATCTTTAGGAAACTGATGTTTGCCAGATGTTTTATGGAAGTGTGTTTTCTGCAGGAGTTTTAAAGAATTTGGAGACTTCCTCACAATCTCTTTCTCAGCTGATTCATGTGACTATGCTTATGCCTTAATCTAATATTCACTTCTGACTCTTGCGTGGCTTCCTCTAGTGTATAACTGGATCTAGGAAATCCATGTTATAACAGCAGAAGCAGACAGTGTCTGTAAAAGAAATGACTCAGATTGTTTGCTTGGGACCTTTCTTACCCCTTGCTGGGAAGAAGCCTTTTGTGGAAGAACAAAGATTTGAACCTCTTGAAATACTGTACAATAGTTACATAGTGATGGGGCATCCTAAGGAGAGAGTAACTGTCAGTGAAACTCTGACACACACAGCAGTGGCTGCTTTGGCAAATTCCTATGTGGTGGAGTCACTGGTGTTTCCTAGGGAGTATAAACACTTAATACCTGGTAGGAGGCAAGGACAATTGATTGTTCTTCCTCCACTGATAACCTAACCCCCCCCCAACAGAAAATTAGTCCAATAGAAAATGAGAGTTGAGGCTGGAGTCAACACACTTACCAAGTAACTCAGGTACACTCACTGCCTTTTGCTGCTGCGTTATCTTATAGTTTAAGTCACTGTAGTTTATTTCAATGTTCACAAGATTCTCTCTGAGGATGAAAACAGAATGAGCATAGCTTACAGCTGTCACCACTACTTTTAGTCCCCATTTTAGATTCAGGAACTATTTAAAATTGCATTCGATCTAGCATGTATTAGCTCAGTTTTAATCTCTTCGGCACTCTTGCCATGATGATATTTGGGGGGAAAGAAAGAAAGAAAAAAAGAAAGAAAGAAAGAAAGAGAGAGAGAGGGAGGGAGGGAGGGAGGGAGGAAGGAAGGAAGGAAGGAAGGAAGGAAGGAAGAAAGAAAGAAAGAAAG